CCCCACCCTGGCCACAGGGCCCGGTGCCCAGGTGTCCCCCTGTCCAAACACCATGGGGCTAGAGGCCCCCCCCGCCCTACACTGATGACCCTCCGAGCAAATTTCTAAGCAGGGGAGAATTCCAGGCCGCATCATCCAATGTGTTTGCATGCCAAGGCCCAGAGCCCACCCAAGGCTGAGGACACCACCCCACCTCCCACACAGGGCTCCCGGAAGGCCAGAACCACAGCAGGGATTCTAGGTCAGCATAAAGGTGCTGTGGGGGCACGGGGAGGGGCTGGGCAGGGGCAGCTCCCCAGAGGGGGGTACAAACCATTCATGGGGGGGGCATACAGAGCAGTACACATTTAAACGGCAACGCTGGCCTCTGAAGAGGCTCCCCCCATGAGCCACCACCCCAGAGTTCAGGGCCTGGGGCAGCCCCTCCCTCACTGACCTTGGCCTGGGACTGAGCCTCGAGGAACCGGCAGTGTCCACCTCTGTAGGTGGACAGGTCTGTGCCCAGCTACTCAGCTGCAGGAGCTGACCTAAGATGGTGTGGAGCGAAGGGCCACCCCAGCATCCCAGACGAGCCCTGACCCCATCAGGTCACTGAGCCACCTGCCCGGCCATTCCAGCTCAGCTCCCGGGGGACTGCAGGCCCATCTGATGTCACGTGGACAAGAAGAACCCAGTCGGCCATACAACCTTGAGAGACAACGAGCCTCTGTGTTTCAGGACGGTTCCAAGTTGCATGCAAGACTTCGAAACAGAGGCGGTGAGGGCACCGCCCTTAGGGGGTCCCCATGAGAGCCCTGGCAGGGCCAGCGAGAGGCCCAGAACGAGCTGAGAGCCAAATGCCGGGCCGGTCGAGGATTCTGCCAGGCCTCAGGGTGGCTGGGACCCAGCGCCCAGCGCTTCAAGGGGAGAGGTCCTAAATCAGGTCCTGGCATATAGAAGAATGCCCCGGGGGTAGGAGAGAAAAGGCCCAGGCGGGTCAGGAGTCTGGAGAGAGGCCTCAGATAGGGGCCAGTCCCGTGTGTCCACCTGAGGGCTGAGTTAATGTGGCCTCTCTGACTTCTAGTTTCTCTACTTCCGCTGCTGGGAAGCTGGTCTGGGGGAATTCCTTTGTTTTGTGGGTTGGGGAAAGAAAGGGGAAGAGGTCAGGTGTTTATGCCCACCCTCCCAGACATGTCCCGCTAGATGTGAGTCTCATTCTGGATGCTTCTTTAAACCACGCTTGGTCTCAATGGGCAATTAAGTTCCTTTTAGCTCATTCTGGTTATGCATGAGGCACTGGGCAGTACAAATGTGCTAATTTAATAAGTCTGACCTACAAAGGCAAATTCTGCCTGGACTAGAAGAGGGGCAGCAAGCCCCTCCAGCCTCCAGACACTGCCTCCGCCCTCCAGGAAGCTTCCAGATGCTCCCAAGACAGCGAGCGCACGAGCCTCTGTTGCCTGCTGTGTCCAGTCTGGGAGCCTCTGAGCACATGAGCCACATCTCGTGCTCAGCAGGCTCAATGCACACTCTTGGGTCAACACAACTATAGTACCTTTTTCCCATGAAACCTGTAGGATTGAAAGCTTACACGTTGAATTCAAGAAACGTTTTTTTATTTTTTTAAAGATTTTATTTATTTATTTGAGAGAGAGCAACAGTGCAAGAGAGAGAGAGCATGAGTGGGGGAGTGGCAGAGGCGGAGGGAGAAGCAGGGAGCCCAATGCAGGGACCCCGGGATCATGACCTGACACTTCACCAACTGAGCCACCCAGGTGCCCCTCAAGAAATGTTCTTTAAACGTCCCATATTAAACGCTGGTAGAAGAAGGAGCTCATGGAGTAGTGGTCTTGCAGGTGGGCGGTCAGGCCGCTGCCGACCGGCCACACCCCTCGTGACCACACATGCGTTTGGGGTGGGCTCTGAGGTTCCCCGTCACCACAGCAAAACTGGGCATGGATGCAGCCACTCACTGTTGTGGGTGAATCGCGTCCCAAAAAAGGCCATGTTGAATCCCAACCCCCAATACCTGTGAACGTGACCTTATTAGAAAATAGGGTCTTTGCAGATCTAACCAAGGTAAGGTGAGGCCATAAACCAACGGCACTAGTGTCATTACAAAAAGGGGAAATCTGGACAGAGACAGGCAGAGAGAAGCCCACGTGAAGACAGAGGCAGAGACAGAGCCATGGGGCCATGGGCCAGAGCCAGAGGAGCTGGAGGGGGCACAGACCCTCCCCAGAGCCTCCCTGGCCCCAGAGCTGCCAGAGATCACTTTTCTGTTGTTTTAAGCCCCCAATTGGTGATACTTTGTTACAAAAGTCCCAGGAAAAGCCAAACATCAACTTAATTTTTTTCTTTTTCTTTTAAAAGATTTTATTTATTTATTTATTATTTATCAGAGAGAGAGAGAGCACAAGCAGGGGGAGCGGCAGAGGGAGAAGCAGGCTCCCCGCGGAGCAGGGAACCAGATGTGGGACTCGATCCCAAGACCCTGGGACCATGACCTGAGCTGAAGGCAGACACTTAATCACTAAGGCACTCAGGCGCCCCTTAATTTTTTTTTCTTAAAAAGAAAACTGATCAAAAAAAAAAGGAAGAAAGAAAGAAAAGAAAGCTGATCAGCTTCATAAGCCAGGAAAACGATTTCTGTGAACTTTAAGCGTGAGATGCGCTGTGACTTGAAATGTTGACTCTACGCACTATGCTCTCTCTGCCACCAAGACAAAAATAGACCCCAAACAGGAAAGCAGCTAGAAGCAGAGCCTGCTCTCTTGCAGCAGGTGAAACCCTTCCTTCAGTCTTGTTCAACTTTCCATCTTGAAACACTTTGCAACTGTTGGAAGAGACCTGCCACCTACCCCTGAACCACACAGACCAGTCTGAGACGTTCTGCGACATTTGTTCCCATCTGGTAATATGCTAGACCTTTAATCAGTCACTCTTTCCTAGAAAGTTGTACACGCAAAGAAGAGGGGCTACCCGTGCACAGGGGTCCCAAACCCCTGAATCCTGAACCCCCAGAGCGAGGGGAAAGCGTCAGCTAGAGCCACGTCTCCGCGAACGTTTTAGGCGGGCAGCAGACAGCACGAGCCTCCTGGGCACCGCGGGAACCAGCCCAGGTGGCTCCGGTATCCGACAGAATTTCAGCTGGCTGACCTGACATGTGTCCAAGCACCGCTCTCATTTCTGCAGAAATTACCAGGCCCTCCCCAGGTAAGCACTCCTTACACACTGAAGAAGAGAAGGACGGACAGACGGATGGCTGCTGAGTGAGCCAACGGTCACGGCCGGAGCAGGAAGCGGGCCAGGTGCACAGCGGCAGCCGGGGCCTGAGACAAGCCCTACCTCCACCACGTGGCCCCCAGTGATGGATCCGTCAGCTTCCCTAACTCACGCGGACATTAACAGTAAGGCCAGTCCCAGAACTGGCCAGGTCTCAGCAATGAACAGATCACACTGGTCCCCGGCATCCCCCACACGGCCAGCCAAGCCCCCAACTGAGTGCAGCAACCGGGGCACAGGCCTGGGGCACGTGATGAAGGCGGGAGGCCGAGCTGGGGCCGACCTGGCCAGCAGGCCCTGAGGTGGGGGGCCTCGTGAAAGGAGCCCTGGGGGAGGGGTTGGTTCTTCCTCCCTGGGCAAGCTGTGGGCTTGGACTGTGGGGGGGGGGGCAGAGGGGAGGCTTAAGGCACCCTGTCCCCCATCTCTGGCACGTCAGGGAGACAGGGCCTCTCCCAGGGAAAGCCCCTCTCCGTCAAGGGCTGAGCTGGGACCAGCCCCAAGGCACTTAAAGAAATGAAACTCCCGATTCACAAGGAAAGACCTGGGTTTCGAGGGGGACTACTCAGTGCTCTGCGGGACAGGGCGGGCACATGAGGGGCTCTCCAGGTCTGCCCTCTGGCAGTGACCACAGCTGAAGGAAGAGGGCATGGAAAGTGCTGACTCTCTGGGCAGCCCGCAGGGAAGGGTCCCGGGGGCTTCACCGTCCTCACAGCCCTGCTGCAGGAACAGCACAAGCATGGGGTCAGGGGATCCGAGACACACTTGCCAGGGTGGGGGGCACCCCTGCATGACAGAGCCCTGAGGAGCAAGGGTCTGTGCCACACAGCCCAGGTACAACCTTCATCACCAAATCCGCCCCACGCTCCTACTCCCAGTCCCCACGGGGAAGACACCTGAGGCTGGTCTTGGCAGGGGTGCTGGGCGAGCCCCACAGCCAGTGTCAAAGTTAATCCTGGGACCTAACGTTAAACCTTCAAAGGTGTCTGGGCAAGGCCTATAGGAAACCGAGGGAAACGTACTAGATTCTGAGAAGAGATCTCCAAGAAAAAATCTACATGCATGAAGCTGAAAAATTAACACAAAGCTGTACGACCCAGTGATGGTGGTCACAGGCCACCACAGAACCAGGAGCCACTGTCCTTCTGGAGCCCAGCCCACAGCACATGGCGAGACGAGACGTGTGCGTCCCTGACCAATAATTCTACTTTTGGGAAATTCTACCCCCAAGGAAATGACCCCAAATGCTAATTTGTTCAAAGACGCTGCTAAGACTGCTATTTATAATAGCAAGAAGTAAAAAACTACCCAAATGCCTGACAGTCAGAAAACAGCTGAGAAGAATATGACATATTAAAACTGAACGAGACCCAACTTAGAGGAACAATAAATGTTGTTTATGTTGATGCTCAGAAGTTTGTAAGAAATAAATGGAAAGAAATGACAGCCGAGAACACGGACCCTGAGATGCCTGCTCACATCCCCCGTTTCCAGCCGAGAACACGGACCCTGAGATGCCTGCTCACAT